GCAGAGCTGGGAGTAGAGGCTCAGGCTTCTAGGGACCCTGTTTCTTCCTCGATAGCTCGCTCTGGTGGCGCTATGCTCAGGTAACTGCGCATGCTCGGTTTGGTCTTTTGTAAATCCCCGCCCCATTTCGGGGAAGGTTCTTGGGAGGCTTCTATTTATTTAGGAGCATTTAAGTATCTTGTTCTCTCTCCCTCCTCCCAGATGCATGGGCATTTCTGCAGGCCCCCAGGCTGGCCCTTGTGCGTGGGGGCGTCTCCTGCCTCCACGTTGTTTGCATGCCCCCTTCTGAAGGTGCTCTTCCCCGCATGGAGCCCCCTCGTGCTGCCTCCACACTGCAGGCTGTTCGGTAAATGTTACTGACTCAGCATCGTTGTTTTCTAGAAATGGGACGGGGTATGGATGCCAAGTTCTTTTCTGTGTGAAGCCTGCGATGGTATCATCTTGCCTTCCCCGTGTGTGCTCCTTGAGGGTGTCACTGTGCTGTGGTCATCTGTGTTCCCTAGGGTGCCTCCCTTGGAGTCCTGGCCGTAGCAGACATGCAGTCAGTGCTCATGGCCTAAATGAGAGGTAGGCCAACAGAGCCATTAAATCTGGAAAATGACAAGTGAGGGAAAGGAATTTTTATTTAAGGCATGTGAAAAAGAAGTCTTTTTAGAAAAGTTGACCTGTTTCTCAACTGGAGTTGAATTTCAGCTCAGAAAAGAAGCTGTGTGCCCAGAGGGCTTTGGGATTTCAGTTTGTGGCGGATGAATTTAATTTGTTGTTGTATGAATGTATTATCCTTTTGTGGTTTTATTAAACCTTTCTTCCAAATGGAATCGATTTTTCTATAAAAGTCACACTTCCTTTTTGAGAAGTGTAACACTAATTGTATGGGATGGTCTCCCAAAAGATTACCTGCCAGGAACCAAACGCACTGCCTCAGACTCACGGGCCCTGGTTTCTGCCTGTGCAGCTGCAGGGCAGAGAGGCACGCTCGAGCTGAAATCAAGATGCATGTCTGCCTCTTCTCTTTACTGCTGTTTCGTCTCTGAGCTGCCTTCAACGTCTAGGAGCTTGGTGGGTGTAGACACATTACGGTATGGAGGAGGGATATGGTGTTGCA